TTTTTGATAAAAGATTTTGCTTGAATTAGTGGCCTTAAATGCTACCGAACGTTGCTGTACACCAGCCTCCATACCGTCTTTCTGGAGAATGCCATTTCCTAAGCAGTGCATATTTCATTCCAAAGAAATCATTAATCACCCAGTGCGTGTAGTTTCCATCAGACAAAGAGTGTATATCGTACACTCCCCTCATACCAGATCGCACTTTATTGAAATTCGAGCACGCATGCACTTGTTATCTCACTTTAAAAAAGCTTATTTTAATTATCAACGCGTTCTTTTTTTGCCTAATATCGTATGACAAATTTATAGGCCATATATCTTGAGGCCCCGACACACAGTTCTTTGTCGTATGCCGACTGCTGTTGCAGGTATTGACCCGTTGCATATTTTGTGAGACTCATTAATAAAGCAGAGAATAATCAGGTACATGATTACTCATAGCCGAGCCCTGCAATGTCTCAGATAAAGTACGCACTGCACGTATGGTCAATTTGTGGTCGTAGTTTCCATTAATAGGGAATTACAGCTAAATTTAAAATCGACATGTTTCTGTGCAGGAAGGCCTTTCGAAATCATGCTGTGCATGTTTTCGGCGCATGCTGACGTCGAAGCTCACGCCCGAAAGTGCTCGAGAACCCCCTAATGATGATGCCTTTATAAGTACAGCTCATTCTACGCTGTCCGACAAAGCGCGGGTGAAACCCGGCAACAGCCAAATGTCCTCATAGCTGACCCCGGGTTCCTTTTTTTAACATCAGGTAACCGCTATTATCCGTGGCCAAAATTTGCTGTGTCTTTCAACTGGTTGAAACCCATGCTTTATAAATACCCCCGCAGGTAGGCTAGGTAGTACTGATGGACGAGGGACATTTGCAAGCGGAGGTGCTTGTAGGTAACTAACATGTATTTACCCTCTTTCGGCAGCAAGAGAGTGTGGTCGTCTGACCCTTGATGCCACAGGAAGAGTCTAACCGTTCGATTTTAGTGGTAATCTTTTTTTGGCTTGCAGTCTGCTGCTCTGCTTTAGAACGTACTGCTTTATGCGTTGTTGGAAAGCGCGGTCATTGGCTTTTAATGATCTTATGAATAATTACCTGCCAAGCAAAACTAGAACCCATATTCAGAGCAGCCAAGTGACTATCAATAACTGAATGGAATCTACAGCATCTGCTTATTCTGCGTATGAGCAATGGAAATATATGCGCTCTGACACATAAAATGTTAGCCGAAATCCTAAAACGTGTTTTCAATTTAAAAATATTTCATTACGGTTCATTGATATTTTGGCAGATTTTGAATAATTCATATTGACCCAACTGTTAAAAACTCGGCGCCTCTGTGGGCTTCGAACCCCTTACTGCGTGGGTGCCGAGTTTTTCACAGTTGGTCAATATGAATTCATTACGGTTGTAAAACTCGTCATCGTACGCACAATTCTATAATACATCTGTTACACAGGGACGGTGGACTTTTTTTTCCGACCGCATGAAACAAACTCTGGAAAAATGGCACTTAAATAGCATAAAGTTTTTTTCAGTGATTTTCAATGCCGTTAAACAGTCTAACATATTTCATGAAAAACATGCATAAAATGTACATTTATTTATTCATCTGGCAAAATATTATGTTTTTTTCCTATTTAATACTTCAAGAAAGGGTACAATTCGTTTCTAAAGAACCATTCTAATTTCCGAACCATTCGACCACAACCTGTCGTTACACTTGCATTCAGGGCTCAAAAATTTCGCGTACGGGAAACGATGCACTTCTCTACGGCATTAATAGGAAACCATATGGGGCTCCTAAAAAAGAACAGTGGATTTGAGCCATATTGTAAACTTTACTAACAACATTTGTAAATAAAGAGACACAACATTTTATGAACGGTCATTGGACGGTATTAAAAAACCCCACAATTATAAACTTTTCAAAACCGAATTATCTCCCTGCTGCGAGTATAACGTTGGAAGAAAACTTAGTTTTTTAATCGAATTAGTAAAATAATGATTGCTTTTACATGTGTTTTCCACGAAATATAATTGAATTTTCAAGGTCATCAATAATCAAAGAGAAATATGCATGCTATTTAATCAGTCGATTTTTACAGAGTGTGGCTTTTGCGTGCAGCCGAAAAGAATTCAGTTCGAAAGTCGGCATTTCGGCGTAACTGAAGTACCATAGAACTATGCTGCACGATGATTAAAATGACAACCATTCTTAATTAATCTTTTCGAAACGAAAACGCACTTCGGATATTCGGTTAACATTTCATTAGTTAGCTCGGCTACCGTACATGTGGATGGCGCCCATCCGGGCTGTGTTCTATCATCAAGGTTCTTCAGCACGCGCTGGTAGGCCACCATGTTTTACAGTAGGTTGAGAGCCGTGTGGTACAGACCGACGACTACACTTCGTACTCAGATAGTACACCTTAACGATAGGGTCTGCTATTTGGATAGAAAGGAAGTCGTCTATATAATCCAATGTGAGGCCTGTGATGCAGTTTATTGTGGTCAAACAGGAAAATCCACCTCTACACGCATTCACGAACACCAACTTGCAGTAAAGAGACGAGACCACCTGTCTCAAGTAGCAATGCATACCCTGGACACCGGGCACACGTTTGTTTGGGACAGAACATGGATTGTCGGTGCCTGCCCCTTCAAGAAAGGCCGAGAGTTCCTTGAGGCCATGCACTCGGATGAATCGTGCATCAACTGTCATATCGAGTTGGACGTCGCGTACAAAAGTCTCAAGGAGAAATGAAAGAGACGAGAGCAGGGAATAGAATTTCCGTGATACCCTGTCTCCGTTAGAGTCGACGTTTTGTGGTTGTTGCTGGCGTCTGAGACAGGGTATCACGGAAATTCTATTCCCTGCCCTACATGCCGAGAATTTCCGAAGCGATCGCCCAACAATTAAATCAACTCGGCATCTCCATCGCCCACAAACCGATGTCTTCATTGCGCACGACATTAACGCGGGTAAAAGACCCCATATCGAAGGAGCAGCAAACAAATGTCATTTACCGCATTCCATGTGCAAACTGCTCTAGCGTTTATGGTGGGCATACCGGCCGACGACTTGGGACCCGCATTAACGAACATAAGTTGGCCATTCGCCGACGGGACCCCTTGTCTCTCGTGTTTGTGCACGCCCTTGAGTGTGATCACCGCTTCAACTGGGAGGGGACCGAAGTGATCGCTAGTGCCAACACCAAACAAGCGCGAGAGTTTCTAGAAGATTGGCACTCTAATAACAAAAGCATCAACCGCCATGTCGATTTTGACGCTCAATACGAAGGCTTGCGTTCACGGCTCGCCGGCTTGCGGAAACTCTTTCGTTTTCATCATCAGAGTTGTTCGCTGGTGTTTCCTGCTGGCCTTGATTTGTTCAACCCTGCCGCCTGCCTCGTATTATAACCGTGCTCAACGCACGTACGTCGGCCAGTCCGCTTGCTGTTGGCGGACTGTGGCCTCTCTGATCCCAACCACTGGCGGACTTGCGTGCCTTGCATCCCCCTCGCGTCTATCGTGGTTGCCGCTGCGTCGACGTGCTCGTCGGCCTCCACCTCGTCAGACGGCGGGAGTGATCGATCGTTGTTGCTCAGGCCTGGTGTTGTCGGCCTCGCAGGTACGTCCGTGGGACAGCGTGCCACGCCGGTCACGTGACCTTCGGTCAGCGCCTTCACTTTTCTCCGCTAGCGTCAGCAGTCGAACCCGTGTGACTCTTGCCATCCGTCCCATTTTACTCCTCCCTAATCAAGGCAACGCTACTCCATTATCAGCGAATGACAACCTGCCATCAGTGTGATAAGCTTGGATGTAAAAGTCAAATTACGCAAAAAGAACAAAGTTCGAATTTTTGCGTTCCCAAAAATAAGCAGAGGAAGTAAAACGGTTGCGACGCAACAAGCGATGATATACCCAGACAGAACAAACTAATAATTGAACTGCTACTTTCCGCCAACGCGATGATCGCACTCCATAGCAAAGAAGATAAGCACACAATCCCTGGGACGGTACGTACGGGAGGCCATCGCCAGAGACGTGAGAATGCGGCGTCAAATGAGTAGTTTTTGTAGTCAAGCGATGAAGGTGGAAATAGCATTGGAGGAGTTGGTGTTCGCGATAAGGCTGAGTTCACGCCATCTCACGGCGGCGTGACTGCGTGCACCCTTGGCTGGAAATTGGATCTCGCCTCTCGGCCGCGGG